GGGTGGCAGGTTGCTCCAAGCTTAGTGGAGTAAATCTCTGCCCAATAAAGGCACTGGGCAGACAAGGATTAAAATAAACAAATGAGTGACTGTGTTCTTCACTAAGTAGGTGAATCGCCCTTCTGTCCATGAACAAAATTTAGTTTTCCCTGTGGCCCCTTGAATGGCAATGGGGGGCTTATTGCTAGGCCATTCTGGTTTTTTCAGTACAGAGTATGTAGCCCCTGTGTCCACCAGAAATGATACTGGTTTTCCCCCTACTTGAAGAGTTAGCCTGGGATCTTGGGGGTTAAGGGGCATGGAACCCTGACCCCATCAGTCTTCTGTGTCTTCACCCAAATGAAGCACAGTGTTAGTCTTTTCAGGCTTTTCCTGTAACTGGGGCAAGCCTTTTTCCTTACAGTAGGCACATTGGTCTTTATACAACGGTGGGCGTTTTTTCGCCCCCGTGTTGACTGCTCCTTTAGGGGCCTGAGGTTTCTTGGGTTGGCCTTATGTGGCCAGCAGAACCTTAGTTAGTCTTTTAAGCTGCTTATCTTCAGGTGGGTTGCGATTTGCGAAAACCTTTTGGGCTATTTCTACCAACTCTGAAAGAACCTTGCCCTCAAATCCCTCTAATCTCTGCAATCTCCGTTTTATATCGGGTGCAGACTGAGCTACAAAGGCCAACTTAACTGCCCTTGGATTTTCAGGTGCTTCCTGGTCTATGGGTGTATAGATCCGGTTTGCCTCTAGGAGGTGCTCTAGGAATGCACCTGGAGACTGGGCGGGCTGTTGGGTGACTTCACTAACCTTAGATAGGTTTGTGGGTTTTCGGGCTGCAGCTCGAACCCCTCGTAACAGGACCTGGCAAAACCGATCAAGAGCCTCCTTACCTCTATTACTATTTGGGTCCCAATCGGGGCGGCGGGTGGGGAAAAGAGCAGCCAATCGCTCAGGGTCACCTGTGGGGAGACCACTGGGGCCCAGGACAGCCCGTTGGGCCTCTCGGCGGATTCGTTCATGTTCCTCAGAAGTGAACAGAGTCTGTAACAATTGTTGGCATCATCCCAGGTGGGCTGGTGAGTATAAGAGACAGACTCAAGCAGAGACATGAGACCGTGTGGATCAGCGGAAAAGGAAGGGTTCTGGTTTTTCCAGTTGTAAAGATCACTGGTGGTAAAGGGAACATATGCCATAAAAGGGCTGTCTGCCCCTGCGGCCTCACGCAAGGGGAAGAGTCCAGGAGGGGAAGCAGTTGAGGGAGGTGAAGAAGGGGAAGCAGAGGAAGGAGGGGACACTGGTGGGGTGGGACTCTGGAGACGATCAGAGGCCCCAGGGCGGGTGTGGGGGAGATAAGTGGGTTAGACACTTGGGTGGGGTCCTCTGCATAAGGTGGAGGGCAGCAGGTCAGGTCCGGCTCCTCTGGAAATGTTGAGAAAACTTGCTTAGGGGCAGAATCAGGGCGCGGCTTCGTCAGGAGAATGGAGGCCATCTCTCGGTGGCGAGCATTTTTCTTTAACCCTAGAAAACATCTTTTTAACCAAGGAGGAGGGTAAGACAGAATTTCAATCCAAATGAGAATATAAGGTATCTGATCGGGGTGTCCGGGTTTTCTGAAGATGACCTGTCCAACAGCCTGAGCTAAGGGGGGCTAAGAGAGCCCCCTGATGGCCAGCGACACTGAAGGCCGGCCATCAATCTCACAAAGGACTCGCAAGACTTCAAGGTCCACGGGGGCTCCAAAGTCGCAGCCTTCTCTCGGAAGGTGTTAAAGTTCATAAAAAAACATTGGAGGACAGTTGGTCTGGAGGATCCTTGTCCCACGAGGTCCTGTGGAGTTGAAATGGCCAAGCTACACTTATAGCAGGCGACACAAAACGAAACTAGACAAACAAAAGGACTTAAACACAGACCGAAACTAACAAACGATACGCATATAATAAAAGATTTTAAAATCAAAATAAAAGTCCCAACCACCTATAAAAGGTCCCAACGGATCAGAACGACATCTCGTTTGATCCAGGGAAAGAGGCGTCTATGGCTGCGTCCAGCCGAGCCTTTTTCCCAACCAAGGAGTCGACTCACCAAATTCGATGGCGCCTGCCATGGGTTTGTCTCTCTGGGGCTGAAGCACGGCTTTTCAGGAATTCCCCCCTAGAGATCCAAAGAGTCCCAGGGCCAAAAGGACGGTTCTCGAGAGGCTTAAGGGATCCCGGACGAGCCCCCAAATGTTATGGCCAACGTCCGACGGGTAAAAGAAATTTGCCCACAAGAACCGGGTGATAGGAAAAGGAAGAGAGTTTATCTCTAGCAGCCAGGGCTACACAGGCCAATCGAGGAGCGCAGGCCCGAGTTGAAACCTCTCGCAGCTTTTATTTTTAGCTAGGCTGGAATTTTTCAATTTTTCGTGCTTGACACAATCTAGCCAATGCCAGCAAGCCAGCGGTCCATAAGCTAATTTTGTGGTTAGCCCTGTACCCCCTCCCCACCCTGGATTCCTAGTAGGGACTTTCCAGCCTAAAATGGCATTGGCCATGCTACTTTGTTTATTCCCCCATTTATTTTAGCAAGCAACTTGTACAGAAGCAGAATGCGTTTATGTTAAGGTCAGGAGGGGTTGGGGCGTCCCTTAACAAGACTGTGCTTTCAGTGGCTTTACAGAGGCCACAGCTGAGCACCTGGCCTCAGAGGATGTTGGGATTTCACTGCACTATTCGTCTGTCCCTTTTGCCGTTGCCATCATGGTCCCGTCTCCACAATTCCTAGAAGGAAGGGTTGGGGCTGAGGCTGACTGTAGGTTGCGACAGGGCCGGGATGAGGGTGAGGCCAGTGAGGCATTCAGACGCAAAATTTATCGCGGTGCCAAAAATCTATTTTACAAAATGCAATACTGTAAAATAAAAAATCAAAATTAATGCAAAAGTCCATGATGAATCAAATACCAACATTTAAATAGACAGGATCCAACTTTGCACTTGCACGACCCCGCCTCTCTCGCTTCATCCTAATCCCGGGGCGGGATAGAGGAGGGGTGACCGCATCCCTATTTCAAGGGTTAATCATTTCATCATTTACACGTAGAGGACACAGGCAGCCCAGCGCCCCGCCCCGGGTCGCCGGCTTCGGCAGGCGCAGGTGCGAGCCCAGGGCTGCAGCTCGGTGCAGGCGGCCCCGCGGTCCCCCACCGCCAGGTGGCACTTTCGAGTTTCGACGGGCGGCGCCTGCGCAGAGGGGCCGGGCCCGCCCACGCGCGCGATCCGCCCCCGAGCTATGTAAAGAGGCCCGGCTTGGGGTCGCGCTACACTAGACTCCCGTGTCCCTCCGCGCAGGCGGGCGGCCCCGGAGAGCTAGTTCCTGCAAAGGCGGCGACGGCGGCGCCCCGTCCTCATCATGGTGAGTGGACGCGTGGAGGCCGGGAGGGGCAGGGGAGACCGGGGCTGGTCACCACAATGGAAAACAAGAGTATGTAGGGCTTTTCGGGAGGAAGTGGCATGCAAATGAGATCCGGGGTTCCGGACCTGAGTTTGAGCCTTCTCCGTGTTCCAGTGCAGCCCTAAGGTAGGGGGGAAGCGGGGAGACTTGGTTGAAGGGGTGCGGCCGCTGGAGGAGGAAAACGGCGGCGTTTATGAGAAAGGGACTCGGGAACTACAGAAGCTGCTGCTGCTGCCTGGGGACATCCAGCTGGCGGGTGGGCCTGGGCCAGGGCTGCTTAGGACACCGCGCTGGGGCAGCCATTCCTCGCCTTCCCCTGCCCAGGGTCCTGTTTGATAAAACCACTTGCCCGCTAAACTCTCAGGGTGCTGACGGGAGGCCGAGCCAGTACAGAGGAGAAGGCAGTTTACAGTAGAAACTGTCGTCACTTGTGGCTTTTAGCAGACAGGAAAACAAGTGGCTCAGAGAGGTGCTGCCGACACACAGCAAAGTGTTAGGCAGAGCTAGACCCTGAACGCAGGTACCCTATGTCGCCCAGTCCTGGGGCAGGCACAAAGACCACGACTTTGTGGGGGCTGGGAGATGGCAGAGGAGGAGGTGGCAGGCTGGTGAATGAAGCCCTTTGTCCAGTGCTCCCCTGCCCCCTACCAGCCCTTGTGTGGGATCATTGTCCCCCCATCCCAGACAAGAGAGTATTATCTGTTGCTGCCATTGTTGGGGGAAGGGAGGCAGTCTTTGGGTAACCCTTCTCCACCCCCACCCTCCTCTGCACACTCAGAGCCAGGGCAGCTGTGACTTTGCCCAGACATAGAGACCCCCCATCTCCAAAGATGTCCTTAATAGTTGCCTAGAATATATAAGTTAGGGCCAGTCCCAGAACTACAGGCACCGGGCCCTCCCTTGCGTGCACTTCCAACACAGTTTCCTTTCAGAGGTGGCAGCAGTGGGTGATCCTTGAGGCTGCAGCTCCAACTAGAGGAAAGTGAAAGTTTAGGAGAGTTTCAGACAAGCTTCCTTCTCCTCCACCCCCAGAGCAGAAGGTACTCAAGGATCTAAAAGGAGAAAAGAAAAATGTTCACCACTGCACCACTTGGGAATGTGCCTGCAACCCCGGGCATGCTTTAAGTCAGGGCTGGGGAGCCCGAAGAGGGGCTGCCTGTTAGAACTAGGCCAGAGACAAGGGGGCAAGGCTGGGGGGAGCCCATGAGTGACCTGGGCTATCTCCTGTTCTCCTCCTTACACAGAATAGAGGCTTCTCCCGAAAGAGCCACACGTTCCTGCCCAAGATCTTCTTCCGCAAAATGTCATCCTCAGGGGCCAAGGACAAGCCTGAGCTGCAGTTTCCCTTCCTTCAGGATGAGGATACAGTGGCCACTCTGCAAGAGTGCAAGACACTCTTCATCCTGCGTGGCCTGCCCGGAAGTGGCAAGTCCACACTGGCACGGGTCATCGTGGACAAGTACCATGATGGCACCAAGATGGTGTCTGCTGATGCTTACAAGATCACCCCTGGCACTCGAGGAGCCTTCTCTGAGGAATACAAGCGGCTCGATGAAGACCTGGCTGCCTACTGCCGCCGGGATATCAGAGTTCTTGTGGTAGATGACACCAACCATGAGCGGGAACGGCTGGAGCAGCTCTTTGACATGGCTGACCAGTTCCAGTACCAAGTGGTGCTGGTGGAGCCCAAGACAGCATGGCGGCTGGACTGTGCCCAGCTCAAGGAGAAGAACCAGTGGCAGCTGTCAGCCGATGAGCTGAAGAAGCTGAAGCCTGGGCTGGAGAAGGACTTCCTGCCTCTCTACTTCGGCTGGTTCCTGACCAAGAAGAGTTCCGAGAGCCTCCACAAGGCTGGCCAGGTCTTCCTGGATGAGCTGGGGAACCACAAGGCCTTCAAGAAGGAGCTTCGACACTGTAGGTGGCGGGGTGGGGTTGGGGCAGGGAAGCTAAACCTCTGCACTGTTAGCTTTATTCATGAGCTCACTTTGCTGGGCACAGGGTGCTGCGTGCATAGGACAGTCGTTGCACTCAAGGGATTGGGAGCAAAGTGGGGAAGGCAGATGGAGGCTCTGCTGGAGGAGGCAAGTTGGTGCTCAACAGGGGTGGCCTTGGGCAGTGGAAGCACAGTGGGAATAGGAGAGGTGCTTTTTGGAGCACCTTCCCTCCCACTGCATCTTTCCTTCCACCCTTCTCCTCACCGCCCCTCTCCCAGCCTGGATTAGACCACTGTCCCTGTCTTGGAGGTAGGAAAAACAAATTACTGTCATAACAGGAAACTTGTCACCATATCATATAACCTTAGAGGGAGAATTTGACCCAGTGTTCTCAAATTCATTTTTAGAAGTAGAACCATGTTCCAAAATGAAATATTACACAGAATCCTAAGCTGCAAAAAAATTAAAACTAGGACTGTTGTGACTTCACTGGGAATGGGTCTCAGGCCTTGGGCTATCCAGTGCCTGTGACATCCGTGGCTCCAGAGAAGGAGTCACACATCTAGTCCCAAACCCCCTGCTTGGTGGGAAAGTCTCACATCTAGTCCCCCCAAAACCAGGTGGGAAAACAGGCCCTGAAGGCATGTGGGATTGCAGGCTGGAGCCCTGGACTCTGTTTACTGTAGAAGGGTTCTCTCCTGGCAAGAGCTCCTTGCTGTACTGATAGGGGAGGTTTGGGATAAGGAAGGGTTCTGGTGGTTCTTCTCCTGCAGTGACCTATTGGGGAAATGTCACCCCCATTAATCCCTCTATGCCTGTAAGCCATTTCTGGTTCCCCCTGAATTTTAGATTATACTTGAAACGTCCCACTCATGTTTCTTTATATCATCTTGTATTGCTCAGAGGCAGGTAATTTGTGCCTTTCTCTGTTGAGAAACAACAGAACTTGTTTCTCAGCTCCTAAAGCTGGAGCTCTGCAGGGAACTGTAGGGCCTGCAGAGACACTGGCCTAGAGCTAGCCCTGTACCTGTGAATAGCCTGAGGGAAAAGCACCCAACAGCTGGTGGCTCTGCCTTGGGGAGTCACTGCCACCTGAAGCTGCTTTCACCATTTGAAACTGGAATCTGGGCTGGGCTAGCTCAGTTGGTTAGAGCATGGTGCTGAAAGCACCAAGGTCCAGCGTTGAGTCCCTGTACCAGCCAGCTGCACCCCACTGCCCCCCCCCCCCCCCCCCC